TACAAAAGTTCAGTGATTTAATCCGTGACAACGTGGAAGGTGAAGAGGTGCTCCAGTGCAAATGAGGTGACTCCAAACAATTTCTCCTTAGGGTTTGAATCCTACTCCTGCTCCTGCACTAGCCCTTGCCCATCCACTTCAGTAAAAACTTTTGCACTCTGAGACCATGTTTAAAAGTTTGCAGAGGTTGTTAGATCCCAGGTACTGATTGTCCGCTGGGTCTATGCTGGGTGTTCTGTTACGGTTTCCCAATCCCGGTAAGTAGGACCCAATTGCTGGACACGATTTTAAGTCAATCAACACAGTTTATTTACAAAAGTTCAGTGATTTAATCCGTGACAACGTGGAAGGTGAAGAGGTGCTCCAGTGCAAATGAGGTGTCTCCAAACAATTTCTCCGTAGGGTTTGAATCCTACTCCTGCTTCAAGCAACAAAGAAAAGGTAGATATCCACAAGTTAACTTAATCGACATAGAATTAGAGCCTCAACTCACCACCTATTGAGTGTACAACATTCTGGCACTGATTCTCCGGCAGGACGGACCTTAAATCCCCCCTCCGTCCTGATTGGAAATACCGGCAGGTGCGCGCCTCCACCATCCAGCCAAATCACCGTCCGAGTAGGCGGACGCCCACACCCAGAAGCCAACCACCACACAAATATATAAAAATATAAATGAAAGAAATCACACACATTTATGTTTAATTGGTTCATATAAATCACTGTGTACTTTTTTCAAACCTTGACCTCCTTTAAACGTCCTGGATTAGAGACATGCCTCTACATGTTTTTATAACACATTTTGACATGTTCCCCTTTCTTGTGCTGCATATGGAACAAATATAATTACTTTTGCCTACTATGATACACTCGGTTTATGACCTTTGGATACTGAGCTCAACCCTTCTTGACACCTCCTTGAGATCAGTATCTACATGATAAACCATACCCCCCCCTCCTGGAGGTCAGCATATACATGTATACTCACGCCAAAACTCAAAGAGGGTGTGATTAAAAGCTGTCGTCGTTGCAGAGAACTTCCAGGATGTCGTCTGGGTCGTTATCAGGAGGTGGTTGGGCTGAAAGTGGAGCAGGCCAGGGTGAAGCTTCCCATTGGTCAATAACCATCATAGTGCTAAGCGTTAATGGTTATGCGGGCGATGTGGGAGTCTCAAGGGTCATAGCTGATGGTGTGGAGTCCGTGGCTGCTGATGGCGATACCCCAGTAAGCGCTTTCTCAATGCTGGTTAGGGCAGCTGATGTGACAGTATCCCAAGAAACTACAACACTACTGTTGTCATCTTTAGGTTGTGGTATTACTGAAGCTGGTGGGGTGGCTGCTGGGCTGATCATCTCCAGTACCAGTGGCTGCAGAATTGTAGTGGTAGTGGTCACTCCAGATGAAATACGTGCCCATATCCAATCTCCTAGAGTGGGCAGAACTTGCTCCACTTCTCGTAAGTAGTGGGAGTAGAAGGTGTGTAGTCGGGATCTGGTGCTTCATTTTGGGTAGCTGTTGCCGCTCCAGATGATGTAGATGACAAGAGTTCCTCGAGAAGATCCTTATCGAGTGGGGGTAGGCGATTATCAACAAGAGGTGGGGGACCGGGGGATGTGTAATTTGAGGTAATCATGCGCAGTCGAGGTCCAATCTCACACACTCGACCATTTCCACAGTAAGACACCAACACTCAATCACCATTAGGATAAGCCCAATTTTCTGACAACAGGAGTGTCTTGGTGTTGGAAGAATTGCATTTATTATCATTGCTTCATGCTGTACTGTCGCTTTAACAAACCACTTGCTTCCCATATTTACTCCAGTGTATTACTGTCGCTTTAACAAATTGCTTACTTCCCATCTTTTCCTTGTCACACCCCCATTCATACCCATTTACATATCCAGCTTCCTACCCCATATACTCACACTAAATCAAATGTTATGTTATCTGATACTTTTGTAAACTAAATAAAAGAGCAGGGGAAGGGTGCAGCAACTCGGAGTTGATGAGGAAGCTGCCAGAAGAGCAAGCTGCATTCTCCCCTTGCAAGAAAAAGATCCAGATGTCTTTGTGTTGTTACTTTGTCGTCACTTATGTTAGAATAAACCTAACACTTGGCCAACTCTCAAACTAAAGTTCCTTCAGCATCCAAGTCATTAAACAGGAGGTGATCAAAGGTTGGAAACAGCGACTGTGAAACATCAGTAAATGACAAAAACCAGCCTTTAGCAGGATGGATCCAGTGGGTGGCACAATAACAGGAATCACACCAGACCACCAGCTGTGGTCAAGATGCCATAGATGTCGTGTTTCATGTGGTTCGTTGTAAAAGCCACATCTGGAACACGTTTGTCTCAACTGTAAGATTATAAGTACATTAGGTTATTATGATGATATTATAAGTTGATATAAGTTGCAAGCAAGCAATTAAGCTGATAATTGTATACATTGGTGATTTACACCACGGTTTCTCTTCTCAGCCGGAGCCTGTGGAGCCATGGAGAGAAGTATGGTCCCAATGCTTGTGGAGGTTTAGCATGTGAGAATTTGTGAGGGAGACTGGCACCATATGTCATAAGCCAAAATCTGATTTCATCTTGGCCTACATCTCTGAAGTTGGCCCAACTTATGCAAGAGAGTAGGAGCCAAATGAAGGCCCAAGCAATCAAGACTGCTACTCTGGGCAGTCAGTCCCTTCTTCCTCTGTCTTGTAAATCCAGTACTAAAGCGAGGATGCAAGTCACAATTGCAGTAATGATTGTACCTTGCAGAGCCATTAAAATGTTGTAGGCATAATTGTTGAAAATGGAACAAAGATCAAGGACTGCCCAGAGGAGTACTGCAAAGCCTTGCAGCAGTCCCCATTTTGTTGTGTCTACTTTGTAGCAGCCCAGTAGATAAGTTGAAAATAGGGACAGACCATTCTCTGTAATCCTGCAGTAACAGTTGTTAAGGCCAAATTTTAGCAGTGCTTTAACAAGGACTAAAAGTCGTAGTAGTTGGTCAAAGGACAATAAGCCTAAGCTAAAATAGACACATCAGGTGAGGAATTGTAACCAAAATGAAGCACTACTCACGATGTAAAGTCCAGTTTGCAGGCAATATTCTGGGGCGGTAGTTGAGTTGTTGGTTGCCATTGTCTACTTGTTGTATGAGTTCCCTCTTCAGCTTCAGATGTATAATGCATAGCTTCCTCTTTTTGTATGTGTGTTTTATACACTAGGTTATTGAATCTCTTCTTTTTAGAGGAGGGGCTTTTTGTCTTCTGACCTTGAAGACCTTTTTTGGCAACAAACAATGATAAGGGCAGGGAAGCCTCACCTGACGGCTGCATAAATGATAATGAAGACTAGGAGACAACTTCCTAACATTACCAAATGTGGCCACATAAAAGAAAAGAGGGCGGAGAATCCTCTCCATAGGGTGTTCAGTCACATTTGCAGGATACCGCCGATTCCGTTAACACCTGTATTGACGATAGATTTTATTGCCTTATTCGCCTGTGGAACAAGTGCAATCACGTGGTTCTTCTTCTTCTCACCATATTTAAGCCAGTCTTCTTCAGGTGCATGACAGCTTCTTTTTGAAAGATTCTTGCTATATTTTGATCCGGGTCACGGCACCAGTTGAAAGATTCTTGCTGTGCGAGGTGTCTTCAGGCAAGAAATGGAAGCAGCCGGTAGATGGTCGATTCGTTTTAATAGCAAAATGTCAAACAAAACAGGTCCAACAATAAAGCAAAATAAAACGACTGGAGAAGTATTCAAGGAAATCTCGTACAACAGTTGTTAATACGCAAATTCTCTCAAGAATAACTTCCTAAGAATAAATTCTCAAGAATAACTTCCAAAGTATCATTAGTTGTTTACGCTTATATACCTATGTGGGGGGCGTGGTTTTCGACTTCCCGGGTGTGTGTTTAAATGTTGTAGGCCAATGGAAGAGAGAGGCTAGGCCTCTTGTGGCCAATCATATTATTGTTCTTGTATTATGGTTATGTCTGCAGTCGCCACTAGGTGGCGCTGCTGCTCCATGTTTCTGCAGTATTGGAGGACATGTTTATGAACCTTTTGTTGCTGAGCGGGGTGTTATCACAAGGGAAGTGGACGGAGCCATAAAGTCCAGCCAAACACAGGTGGTCATGTAGAGCAAAAGGAATGGATGGATCGGGGTTCCCTGTGAGAATGTGAATTGGAAGGTTTCCCATTGTTTCAGGGGGTAGCGGTGGTTTAGAGTTATTTGGAAAGAAGGGGAGAATTTGGAGAAGAGTCTCCTTGAATGTGTGGGGCTATGTGACTGTGTGTGCTTGGGAAAGCCTTTTGGTGTCTTATCAGCTTCTTGCTGCAGACCAACCAAAGCTGAAAACCACTGAAATCTAACAATTTGCTATAGAGTTCATTCTTTTCTAGCCATTCAAATCCAGTCATACTTTTACCGTCACACAAACTTTTGCGAAAAGCATGGCCTTCAGCATGATAGATTTGTGGTGTTGCTACTTGTGGTGTAATGGTGTCGGTTAATTTATGAGGTTTGCGTTGCATCATGCCTGCACCCAAAACCATTTTAGCACATCCTACATTAGGAGACCATGAGCTATACCAAATTGTCTTGTTTATCTTGGGGAGTCTAGCTTTTTTCCAGACTGTCCCTAATTCATACGTAAGGTACTGTGATTCATAATGATGCTTACATCTATGTTCCCATCCTGGAACTGTACTACAATCTTCTCTTGCTAAAGAGATAACACAAGTGTCATTTTCAGAGTTACATACCATCTTCCAGGGTAGGGGAGACATGTAGCAAAGCTCGTAATCCGAATCTGGTCGTAAGTCTTGTTCTTTGGCGTAAACAGTGGCAACATATTGATACTTG